AGGGGACGGGGCAGGGGGATGCGGGCTCGGCAGCCCCCGGGGCAGAAGCCGCCCTGGGACAGGGTCCTGCCACAGGAGCAGGGCTGGGCTGCGGGGCCAGGGCTGCGGGGACCGGGGCTGCCCCATATCCAGCTCTCCAGGAACTTCTCGCTGAGGGGCACAGGCACTCGCCAGCAAAGAGACTGGGGAAGCCTTTGGCTCGTTCATTTTTAATCCTGGCCAAGAGCAGGAGGGGTGTAGGCATGAGGCTTAGGGACGTTGCAGGACAGGACTGGCCTCAAACAGCTCCCTCAGCAGCCCACCTCATGCCATGGAGGTCTTCGATCATGCATGTCCCTGCAGGATGGAGCCCCCGGGAGATGACAGCAACCACTGAGCATTCCTTGCCATTCTGTCTTCCCACAGCTCACTATGGCTCAGCTCCCATTGCTGAGCGAGACCTCTCCCAGTGCCAGTGACGCTCTCCCAGTGCCAGTGACGCTCTCCCAGTGCCTGCAACACGGGGGGCAGGATCTGTGCTTGTGCAGGAACTGTGGGCGCGTGGGAACACACAGAGAGCAGAGCGGGGTGGGAGGAGGGGGTGCACGAAGCCAGAGCACTCCCCACGCTGCTCCTGATCCCTCACCTGGCAACAGGGACCACATCCCAGCAGGGCAGGCGGGGGCAGGACCCTGGTGCCCACGCCGCTACGAGGAGGTGAAGGAGGATGCTCGGGCACCAGGCACTGGCCCGGGCGGGGCCGATGGGGGCAGCGGGAAGCACCGGCTGATCTTGCGCAGGGTCCGATCCAGGTCGGCGCGGAAGCGCCGGATGGAGAAGCAGTAGATGAGGGGGTCCAGGCAGCTGTTGAGACTGAGCAGGGCCACAGTCAGTGTGTGCAGCACATCCAGAGTGTCAGGGGGCCCACAGAGCGGTGTAGGGAGCCGGCTGCCCACCCAGGGGGCAAGTGTCAGGTGGTAGGGGGCCACACAGACCACAAAGACCAGCAGCATCCCCAGCACCATGGCACGGGCCTGCTGCCGGTGGGAGCCTGGTGAGGTGGCGGCAGGCACCGAGAGCGCCCAGACGATGGACGCGTAGGTTCCTAGCACCACCAGGAAGGCGGCGGCAAAGAAACCCACCATGGCATAGGCATAGCGCCGCTGCCGCCCGTGCTGCTCAAAGCAGGCGGTGGTCCCGGCATGGGTGGGGAAGGTCTGGTGAGTGGCCAGGGTGGGCACGGCACAGCCCAGCCCCAGCAGCCAGGCCAGGGTGCAGCAGCAGCACCCGCCGCGCCGCCCGCACCGCGCAGAACCGGTTGAAGCTGATGAGCGCCATGAAGGTGATGGCACTGTAGGTCGCCAGGTAGTAGGCGGCCCCGGCCAGGCGACAGGCGGCCTCCGAGAGTAGCCAGTCCCCCCCAGCCAGGTAGTAGTGGATCCAGAGGGGCAGCGTGAGGTTGAAGAGGATGTCAGCCAGCGTGAGGTTGATGAGGTAGATGCGGATGGCCTTCCTCACTTTGCCACTCTGCAGGAAGACCAGCAATGCCAGCAGATTTCCCGGCAGTCCCACACACAGCACCAGGCAGTAGACGACAGGCACCAGCACGAACTGCACTGGATTGTTGGGCATGCACTTGCCCGGGTGCTCCACCAGCAGTGATCCCAGCACCGAGCCATTCATCCCGGGCTCCTGCAAAGATGAGGAACAGTCAGTAGCACAACCCTTGGGAACAGAGGAGGGATGTTGACCCAGACAGGACAACCTCTCTGGCTGGCACCTGCAGTAGCTGCTGGGTGCTGGAGACAGAGCCCTGCAGGGATGACATCATCTGCAGGAAGGGGGTTCAGCTCACACAGGAGAGGAGGAGACCCAAGCGATGTCGCCCCACACAACAAGGGAGCCTAGAGGCCACTGTCAGCTGCCCAGCTAGAGCTCCCAGGGAGTGGCAGGCACAGCTGCAACACAGCCGAGGGACGGAACTGCGGCTGGAGGCACCCAAAGGTGCCACACTGGCTCCAGTTGGCTGGGCTTAACACCTCCCACACAGCATGTGCCTTTGGGGCCACCCACCCCAGCTGTCTCCCAGCACCCTAAATTCCCCATGGAGCCAGGCATGAGGAAGTCACCCACTGGCTCAGCAAGTTCCAGAATGGAGAAACGCAGGTATGAACAGGGGGGTACAAGCATGGGGCCAGCATGCCCCCATGCCTCCCAGTCCTGCACAGCAGAGTTTGCCTCTGGTCCTGGTCATGGAAAACCACGCTGTGCTGGAATGGCTGTATCCAGGGCTGCAGTTATTTCACCTCCCATCACTGCCTGCCCACACCTCGCCAACGAAGGCACTGAGTCACCAGCTGGTGTTTTCCAGCACGGCAGGGCTGGATTCAGCACACACAGCACCCAGCCCCAGGTTGAAGCACAGAGGGCACGAGCTGCTGAGCCTGGGGGAACCTCAGTTGGACCCCAAAGGGACTTCTGGATCCCTCAGTGGTCCCCTTTTCCTCCTCCTTCCCCATTGTTAGCAGTGAATGCTCCATCTCTCACCCATACCACAACTGTTACTAACCTTGTTGGGTCGGGCAGGAGTGGCTGCGTCCCCTCCGGCTGCTCCTCACTCTGATCCTGCCAGACTGAGAACAGCTTTAAATGCTGGGGGAGGTAGGGGCTGCCTGACCCCCACCCACCATCCCGGCCCCCCTGTGTGTGTGGGACAGCAGCTGGAGTGAACACCTGCTGTGTGTATGTAATGGGGGATTCCCTGCTGGAGCCAACCTAAGATCCCCTGCTCCGGCTGACGGGGCTGGGGGTATGTGGGGGTGGCCAGTACTGGACTGGCTGCCGCCTCCCTGTGCCACCAGCCACATCTAATACCAGTTCCCAGGGCCCTTCTCCCACCCACGCCTGGACAAAAGCATCAGAGGGTCAAGTTACTGCACCTGGCAGCTGGGGAGAAGAGGGATGCCCCAAGGGGATCAAAGTAGAAATTCGTCTCCCCCTGGCTCTTTGTGCTTTTGTTGGCTTCAAAGCTGGTTTTAAGGGGAGCAGCCCTACAGCCCTCCCCACTCCACCCCCCCTGCAAGCTCTGTGAGCATCTGACTCGCTGCTTTGTGTGGCCCTGCAATTTGTGTGTGCTCCTTTGAGACACCAAAGATGTCATCCCAAGGTAGTTCAGGTCCCACTGCTGTACAACAGTGTCCTACACCCCTTGCTCACCCCAACAGCCAGACTCCACACACGGCCATCCCAGCCCCCTCACTGGGAGACACACAGGGTTCAGATGAACTGTGGTTCATGCTGAGACTGCTGTGCCCATCTGGGGTGGCAGAGGGTGGGAGCAAGATCCACAAAAAGCACATGCCTGCCTGGGCACTTGATCCTGTCACTCCCTGGATGCACAGCAAGGGGCCTGGCACATTGTCAGGTTGCTGTGGGTATCTGAGGGATCCCACCCTAGATGTGCTCTCCCCACTGTCCATCTGCCTCTGTGGCAGCTCCTTCACCAGCTTCCACATGTCCCCAGGCCTGGTGTCCAGGCATTGTCCCCAGGGACTGGGTCCTCCAGCCCCAGGACATCCCCTTACCCCTGAGGCTTAGCATAGGAGGGAGGCAGAGATAAACAGACAGGCAAAATGTGAAAAACAACAGGTTTTATTCCAAAATTTGAAAGCTCCCAAGAAAGCAGAGCCAGCCCCTGCTCAGTGTGGCCAAACACTGGAAAAGTGCCGGACACCTTGTGAGAGTTTAGCAACGGAGCTGCAGGAGCAGTGCCATGGCAGTGTCACAGTGGTGCCATGGCCACCATACCACAGCACCAGCCCGGGTCTTGCAGTGTGGGGACAACCAGCACCAGAGTCACTGGCAGAGGCAGGAGAGAACACACAGCATCCTTGTCTCATCAGCAAGTTACCCTTCAGGATGCGATGTCATCCCTGAAAATACCATAAAGGCATTGCTTCCCAGCGGCTGAGCCTTCTGTCCTTCCTGCCTCTCATCACTCGAACTTGGGCCGGGGGGCAGCCGGGTACCCACGGATGTTGAGCAGCAGGAGGAGGCCCAGGCAGAGGGTGGCCGGGGCACACATGGCCAGCGGCTCCTGCAGCGCCAGCAGCGTGTAGATGGCACCTGGACAAGGAACAGAGCATGGGAATAAGGGTCTCTGGCTGAGGGAGTCCCAAAACCCCACGATGGGCAATGGGCACCCAACTGGCTCTCACCGATCATGACGACACTGAGGATGAAGTTGCTGATCTCCTGAAGCAGCTGGGGTCCAAATGCCAGCAAGAGCCCTGCCATCACCTCCAGCCAGCCTACAGCCACCAGGTACCTGCCCGGCTCTGGCACAAGGCCCAGCTCCTTCAGCGGAAATACCTTGGCAAACCGCACGAACTCCGATGCCTGGGAAGGGTGGGAGGGGAGAGAGGCAGCCCTGAGCCTGGGCCTGAGGGGATACAGCCCCTCCAGTGTGTCTGCTCTGCCCTGCCCTGCCCTGTCCTCCAAGGGGATCAGCTCTGCATCCTAAATAACCACACACTCTAAGGGGATCAGCCCTGTGCTCCAAGGGATGCAACCCTGCACCCCAGTGGGGTCAGTCCTGCACTCCAAGGGACTCAGGCTGACTCACTATGAAGGGCTTAGCCTTGTACCCAAAGTGCTCCACCATGAACCCCTGTATTCCCAACCTGCTCATTCTCACCCAAGGCTCAGCCCCACACCACAACAGGGTCAGCCCTGCACGTTTCCCCCGGAGCTCAGCCCTGCACCTCAACCTGTTCCTTTCCCCCGGAGCTCAGCCCTGCACCCCAACCTGTTCCTTTCCCCCGGAGCTCAGCCCTGCACGCCAAAGTGCTCTTTACCCCCAACCTGCTCCTTCCCCACGGGCTCGGCCCTGCGTCCCCCGAGCCCGTGGCCGCGCTCACCATGTGCCGGTGCAGGTCGGCGGAGAGCCAGTCCGAGACCTTCAGGGCACCGGTGAGGAAGAAGAAGAACCCGAGCAGGACACGGAGGGCGGTGAAGGCCGCCGCCATGGCGGGACGGGCGGGCCCGGGGGCGGAGCTGG